GGTGGGCACTCCATGAAATTGCTGAGCGGTCGGGTTAGAACGGATAAAAGGAAGTACTTCTTCACCCAAAGAATGATTAACACATGGAATTCACTGCCACAGGAAGTGCTGGCGGCTACAAGCATGGGTGGCTTCAAGAGGGAATTAGATAAGCATATGGAGCAGAGGTCCATCAGTGGCTATTAGCCACAAGGTATAGCTAGGGGCTCTGGGGCAAGTGATGCTCTGTCTTCTTGGTGCTTGGGGGGGGGATCAACAGTGGGAGGGCTTCTAATGTCCTGGCCCCACTGGTGGACCTCCTGAGGGCACCTGGTATTTCTGGCCACTGTGTGACACAGAGTGTTGGACTGGATGGGCCTTTGGCCTGATCCAACATTGGCATCTCTTATGTTCTTATCCCTTGCTGTCACCAGAGTCCCCTCAGAAGATGGAGGGAGGTGAAGAAGGGCTTGAGGGGGGGGGTAATTGGGGCGGGTGAGTCTTCGGTCCCCCAAGCCCCGGTCCTCTTTCTGGCATCTGCATTAAGACCACGTGTCCTGGGCTACACATGAGCAGGACTTTCACTGTGTGGGTAAGGCCCACTCCTTCAGAACTAAGAGGCCTCTCCAACACCTGGCCCCATGTGGCGTGGCCCTGGGCTAGCCCACATCCTCAGACGTGCCGCGGGCGCAAGAACAAGAATCAGTGCCGTGGCTGATGGAATAATGGTGCAGAGTCCCTTCCGAGCTGCCTTAGATGCTTGGGGCTGAAGTCCAATGTTTAAGAACAGTTGGAAAGCCGAAAATTGGAGAAATCCCTGAATCCTCAAAATTCATGATGCTATAACTCTACCCTCCTCCTCCTCCTGACGATGCTGTGTGATCAGCAACACACGAAATGTGGGTGCCCTCTCCACTAGAAGTTTTCTTCTGATTCTGGGTGCCCTGAAGGATCCGAGTGTGTGTTTGTTCTTCCTTCCCTGCGTGGGGTGTGGACAGAGAGGGCTTTGTCTCCCTCAGGGCTTCGCCATTCTGGTGGACTGAGAGAGCGTGACTTTCCCCCTCAGCCCAGGGCCTGGGACTGGGTCGTCAGGGGTTGGCTAACTAGGTTGGTGGTTTGTTGGCCGTGACCCCCTGGAAGGTTCCATTCCCGGAGGAGTCGACCTATGAGGGGTTATTAACGATGACACGTTAAATGGAACTTCCAGCTTCAGAAACAGCTGTGCCTCCGCATATCAAGGGCAAATGCTCAGGGAAGGTTGTTGCCTCCTTATCCAGCTTGTGGGTGTCTCAGTGGCATGTGCTGGAAAGCGGGGAGGACTACTATTCCCTGAGGGAGGAAATACTTGTTTGCGAGTACACGTGCTCATACTTCCGTTGCTTCGGTTTCCCTTCCTTACCTTTCCTTATTCGTAGGTATGTACTGGAGATGGGTGTGTAGCGTAGAGCAGGAGAGGGCAGACGCCACTCAGCTTTCTTCAAGAGCCTTGGGAACGACCAATCACAAAATGGCGGCTCAGCGGGTCGAGCCAGTCACAAAATGGCGCCTTGTGCAAAGACTCCAATGTTTCCCTCAGTCCTTGGGTGAAGAAGTGCTTCCTCCGATGTTTTCCCAAAGCAAACCACCACCTCAAGCTGTATTCTGCTCCACACAGTGAGGAAATTTAAGGCTTCTGTCGTGTTATCCCTAGACGATTCTGATGCAGGGGGAAGGGGTCAGTAGCACGTTCCTTTCCTCTCTAGAGCGAGGGGACATGTGGGTGCTGAAGGAGGAAGAGGAGGAGGAAAGGCGGGTGAGGAGGGGCGCTCTCGGTGCTGTCGTTTTCCCACTCAGAGCAAAGGCTTTGTGTGTGTGTGTGTGTGTGTGCGCGCGTGTGTGTGCAGTCTCCTCCTCCACGTGTAAGAGAAAGAGGAGAGAAGCTGTGGCTTCCAAGGGAAGGGCGAGGAAGTGATCACAGCTGCAAGGGAGGAGGTACAGAAAACTCCTAGTTGCTCAGAGACTGACTGGTCACTCCCGAGTGACCTTCCGCCCACCCATGCCAGTTCCTCTCTTGTAAGGGAGAGGGAGGAGAGCCGTTTCCACCAGTTCCCTGTGGCTCCCCCGTCCAGCTCCAGAACCCTCTCCCCTGCTTTCCCTCATTCACTCTGCACCTTGTATCTTGACGCCAGGCAGCACAAAGCTTTTACCTGCTCCCAGGCCGTGCGGACGCATAGCCGGGCGGATCGGTTTCATGCCGATGCTCGGTTGCGGAGAGGCGGCTTGCCTGGGGAAGGGGGCGGCCTGTGCCTCCAGTCTCTGTCAGATTTCATCAGCTTCAACTTAAACAGCCAGTAAGCCCAGACAGAGCGGATTGAATCCCTCCCGGTCTGATGAGGACTCTTCGCTGTGTTGATGAGGAAGGCCGGTGTCTTCTCAGCTGTGTCTTGTGCGGAGAGTGACTGGTCACTCCCGAGTGACCTTCCGCACCACCCCTGCCAGTTCCTCTCTTGTAAGGGCGAGGGAGGAGAGCGGTTTCCACCAGTTCCCTGTGGCTCCCCCGTCCAGCTCCAGAACCCTCTCCCCTGCTTTCCCTCATTCACTCTGCACCTTGTATCTTGACGCCAGGCAGCACAAAGCTTTTACCTGCTCCCAGGCCGTGCGGACGCATAGCCGGGCGGATCGGTTTCATGCCGATGCTCGGTTGCGGAGAGGCGGCTTGCCTGGGGAAGGGGGCGGCCTGTGCCTCCAGTCTCTGTCAGGTTTCTTCAGCTTCAGCTTAAACAGCCAGGAAGCCCAGACAGAGCGGATTGAATCCCTCCCGGTCTGATGCGGACTCTTCGCTGTGTTGATGAGGAAGGCCGGTGTCTTCTCAGCTGTGTCTTGTGGCATTGATAGTAGGGAGGGACCCGGATGGTTTTCAGAGTTTAGAAGGTAGCAAAAGCAGTCTTGGCTTCTAGCAAATACTGCCCTCCCCCCCCCTTAGACTTTTGTTTCGCGGGGTTTTCCATAGTCATTTATTCTCCTTTGGAAAGCAGAGCCCTCCTTGCATCGTGCCACTCAGCCGAAATGTATTCAGTTTGGGTTAAAAAAGCAACAACAGCGAAGTGGACATTCACTTTGCAGCCTCCTATTCATGGAAAAGTGAAAACTTCAGCCTCTGTCAAATATATTTGTTTAACTGGGGAACTGTTGGTTGGGGGGAATCCCACAGGTACTCACTTTGCCATCTTGAAGAATTTTGCACTGCATGATTTAATCCCTAGAGTTTTAGGAATATGCAAATGGAACTTTGGGTCGGTGCCGTTGGTACCATTCTAGATCTTCACTCCAAGTTACCCGAAGTCTTTTCCGTTCCGCTCAGGACTCTAGGCACAGTCTCAGAGTTCATTTCCCCCCTCCCTTGTGCCAACAACATCCATTTCTCCTGCGCTAGAACGAAATGGGAGAGCAGCTCTTCCCTCGTGAGGGGTCAGGGAGTCTCCACCAGAGCCGCCGGGCACCCCATAGCCACTCCTCTGACGTTCAGGGACAGTTTTCCAGGGGGTGTGAAGACAGGAGGCTCCTTTGGAAAGCAGAGCCCTCCTTGCATGTCTTTAGGTTCAACTCCTTATTTCTGACTTAATTCATTTCACCTTAGAAACTGATACGCATCCAAATAAATTTAAAAACTAATGATTTGAGTCCAGTAGTCTGATGGGAGAGAGATCTGACTCTCGAAAGTTTATACCTGGAAAATCTGGATGGTCTCTAAGCTCCTGCTGGGGCTCGGATCTCGCTGTTCTCCTGCCTCTCAGAAATCCGTTTACAGGCTCTATGGCAGTGTTCCCTCTAAGCTGAGTCAGTGTGAGCCAGCTCGCCATTTTTTTAGCCTCCAGCTCACACATTTCTGTCTTGGCTCAGGAAGGATGGGGCTCCAGAGAAAACTGATTGAATGCAGCGGCCAAATCGCCGGCTCACAACTTGAATGCCGGTTGCTCAAAAAGTAGAATTTTTGCTCACACGACTCCACAGCTTAGAGGGAGCATTGCTCTATGGGGTCCTTTTTTCTTTTTTAAAAATAGTAATCTTCTTCCAATAGAGTGCTTTATGTGTTTTACATCTTGAGTATTTTTGAAAAGTGGCAATATAATACTTGGGAAATTCAGAAGTGATCTGTTGCTACAACTATTCAGCAAGTCTATTCAAATCACTTTTGATCTGGGCAGGGGCCGTTTATCAATGAATTGGTGCAGTGGGGCAATGAGTGATCAATGTGGTGTTGCTGTACGCATTGCTTGCATGTGTTTTCCGCCCATGAACAGTAGTACACATCACACAGCTGCATTAGCCATGGGCTGAAATCAATCTATCTGCAATAAGCTGTAATTTAAAAACCGAACTAGAAGGAAAGAAAATGAGTTTTCCGATGGAATAGCTGAGGTTTGCATTTCGGAATCCCTTCCCTGTCCCGTCATTTTTTGCAGAAGTAAAGCTGTGCGGGAATTCATCTGTCTAAATTATGTTTTCCTCTGACTTTAGCATCAACGAGACCCTCGGCTGAATGAAATCTTGTTTCCCTTCTATGACACTAAAAGAGCACTGCAAATAATCGAAACATATGAGCCAGATGAAGATTTAAAAAGCAAAGGTGAGCCAGGCTCTTTGCGAAGATCGTTCCTCTAAGCCAGTGGTGGCGCACCTATGGCATGGGTGCCAGAGGTGGCACTCAGAGCCCTCTCTGTGGGCACGCGTGCCATCGCCCCAGCCAGGCCCAGACCATCATTAAAGTGTCGAATTCTCTGCCAAATAATTTTAAGTAAATGAAAGCATTTGGGATTGCTTTCCTTGCTTTGCCTGGATCATCATAGGTTAATGTATGAGTTGTTTTTTCTAAAGTAAAACCTCTGTATTCAGGTTAAATTGCCGTGTTGGCACTTTGGGATAAATAAGTGGGGTTTGGGTCGCAGTTTGGGCACGCAGTCTCTAAAAGGGTCGCCATCACTGCTCTAAGCTGTTTGGTCTTGGGTGAGGTGGTGAAGAGTGGCGGACTAGTGTCTGGGAGGCCCAGGTTCGGATCCCCGCTCATGCCGTGGAATCTCCCTGGGTGACCTTGGGTGGCCAGTCACACACTCTCCGCCTGACCTCCCTCACGGGGATGTTGGAAGGATAACACAGAGGAGGAGAGGAGAATGAAGCAAACCACTTTGGGTTCTCACTGAGGAGAGCGGTGGGGTACAGATAAGTGAAGCACACGGCCTGTGGTGGCCTGCTCCGTTTACAGGCTGTCCTGGTAACTGAACACCATTTCCAAACCTTCGCCCTTACAACAGCCCCGTCAAGCACCTGTGACCCGGCACATATTGGTCATGTCTGAGCCCTTGGCCACACGGCAGCGGCGGGGAAGGGAGCTTTAAAAGCCTGCGAGGGCTGACTTGGCTCGAGTCAGATTTGCTGGGGGTGGAGGAGGCTCCCGCCTTCCCTCCCCTGCCTTTTCCCTGAGCCAAAATTACCCCGTTTGTTACTTGCATGACTTTGGGGCTGCACTCGCTTCAAATGTTGTTTATTATTATTGTTGTTGTTGTTAAATTTATGTGCCACCTCTCACCGCCAAGCGGTCTCGAGGTGGCTAACAACAGCTAAAATATTAACAGATATCAATTAAAAAACATAGTACACATAAAACTAAAAGGCAGCCCGTATAAATAGGCCTGACTACTCTGTTTTGCAGGCCCTGCAGAACTTAGGTGAGTCCTGCTCCAAAGTGATGCAAATTATGTCCTACTGGGGCTGTTTTGGCTGGAGAAATGGGCACAGGGAGGAAGGCAGGAGCCCCCTTCTCTGTCCTGAGCTACACTGGCACCCTGCGGGCTTAGAAAGCAACGTTCTGTACAGTGGCTGTGCGACTGAGGAGAAAGTGAGTTGGGTCCAGGGAACCCAGATTCACCGAAGTAAAGAACTGTGCTGTGTCGTTTGGAGGCAGCGGTGTAATGAGTCTGTGGATGGCCTGAGGTGTCAATCCGTATTTCTTAGGACTGAGTCCTGGCGTCACATACTCACGTATACTTTTTAAAAGATCGCTGCTCACCTTTTCTCACAGTGTAGCGCAGTAAAGTGTTTTTTTCCCCAAGAAGTTGTGCCAATGAGGCGTTTCTGCCCTCTTTGTGTCCCTCGGCTGGTGGTGATCCTCTAAGAGTGGCTCTTCTTGCTTCGACTGCCTTTGCTCAAGCTCCTTCCAGAGATTCACATTCCAGTCCTAGAATTCCATGTGAATCTGCGCTGGTTTGGGCATTTCCTCCAGCCCCGAGAGAGCCCCGTCGCTGCTCAGACGTCCCGAATAGTCAGTGCTTGGAGGTGGCAGTTCAGTCCTTCTGCCTCTTGAGCCGGAAGGAGGCTCATCGAAGCAGAGCTACATTTTTCTTTTTCCAGCTGTCGGGCCATAGATGGGACTCTGACCAACACAGAAGCATTGTCGCTATCCCCAAGCCTGGTACCTCACCTTCCAGCGCGTTTTATCTGGACGAGGACCGAATCTAACCCAGAGGATGGGTTCTACCCCCCCCAGTGCTCACAGTCCCTTCCTATAAAACACACACATACCCATGTTCCAGCCAGTGGGGATCCTAATCAGTCGTCACTGGAGTTATCTAGGAAGACTCCTTCCTGACCTGGATAGGCCAGGCCGGCACAGTCCCTTCAGATCGCGGAAGCTAAGCAGGGTCGGCCTTGACTAGTATTTGGAAGGGATACCAGGGCCATGACGCGGAGGCAGGAAATGGGCAAACCACCCCTGAAACGTCTCTTGCCTGGGAAGCAAGTCTGTCTCACCACCTAGTGGTGATTGCGGGGGGACACGACTGCTCTCTTTAAACATCTAAAAGGCTGTCCTTTGGAGGAGGGCCAGGAGCTGTTCCAGTCGGCAGCAGAGGAACTTTTTCACGGTCACAGAGTGGTTCAGAGGTGGAATCAGCTGCCTGGGGAGGTGGTGAGCTCCCCTTCACTGGCAGCTTTCAAGAAGAGGCTGGACAAATATTTGTCAGAGAAGCTTTAGGCTGGTCCTGCATTGGGCAGGGGGCTGGACTGGATGGTCTGTATGGCCCCTGCTTACTGTATGACTCTATGATTCTATGATCATGCCAAAGCAGCTAGAACTTCTGTCTGCCAGACAATCTTAGGATCTCCTGGCTATTCTACACAAAACGCCATACGATAATTAGCTAATGAATTCCTTTCTATCAGAGTCCAGTGGTCTTTTTCTGGACCCTGAGAGCAGCAAACACGCTGACCGGCATTTTAGAACCACTGTTTCCTCAACTTCTGTAACCACAGAGGTGCGCCACTAGTTGCCCTCAGCAGCCCAGTGTCTTTCGGATGTTTGAGCCCTCAAAGCCGATTGCCACCTGTAACCTCTCGATAGCTTGGGGACATCGAGGGGTGTATAGCAAACACGTTGACCGGCATTTTAGAACCACTGTTTCCTCAACTTCTGTAACCACAGAGGTGCGCCACTAGTTGCCCTCAGCAGCCCAGTGTCTTTCGGATGTTTGAGCCCTCAAAGCCGATTGCCACCTCTACCCCTCTCAATAGCTTGGGGTGTATCAGCAGAGGCATAACATCCAGAGGTCAAGACGTGATAGTCCCGCCGTGCACTGCATAGTCAGGCCACACCTGGAGTTCTGGAGGCCTCACTCCAAAAGGGATGGAGACAGAACGGAGCGGGTGCAGAGGAGAGCGACGAGGGTGATCAGGGGTCTGGAGGCCAAGCCCTGTGAGGAACGGCTGAGGGAAACTTCTTGGGAATGTTCAGTCTGGAGAAGAGGAGGAGGAGGAGGAGACTGGATTCATACCCTGCCCTTCATTACCCAAGGGAGTCTCAGAGCGGCTTACAAACTCCGTTCCCTCCCCCTCCCCACAACAGACACCCTGTGAGGTAGGCGGGGCTGAGAGAGCTCTTTCGAGGACTGCCCTTGAAAGAACAGCTCTGACAGAACCATGGCCTGCCCAAGGTCATCCAGCCAGGTGCAAGTGGAGGAGTGGGGAATCAAACCCAGTTCTCCCAGATTAGAGTCCGCGCACTTAACCATGACACCAAACTGGAAGAGGAGGTTGAGGGGGGACCGGATGGCTCTCTTTAAGTCTTTGAAGGGCTGTGTCCCTTAGAGGAGGGCAGGGAGCTGTTCCTGTTGGCAGCAGAGGAGAGGACTTGCAATAGCGGGTTGAAATTAAGGGCGGGAAGGTACCGGCTGGATCTTAGGAAGACCTTTTTTCCAGTCAGAGTTGTGCCACAGTGGACTCAGCTGCCCTGGGGAGGTGGTGAGCCCCCTCTCCCTGGCAGTCTGGAAGCAGCAGCCGGACAAATCCTTGTCAAGGATGCTCTAGGCTGATCCTGCATTGAGCAGAGGGGGCTGGACTAGATGGCCTCTATCGTGGCCCCTTCCAACTCTGTGTGATTCTATGATTCCGTGATTCTAGGCCTTCCTGAAACGGTAGCTCCAAAGAGAGATGCTGTGATTCACCTCAGGAGCTCTGAAACACAACAGCCTTCTAGACTGGGCCTCCATGTGAAGAAGGGCTACTTGGTGTTCATGTTTTTGAGACTGACCTCTCCCCAAGGGTGGTCACCACCAGTATCTTGATTGCATTTGTGGCACATCTGAGGGAGCGGAGGAATCAACTGTACCCCTCCCTGGATGTGCACACCAAAGGTCCAGTAGAACTCAGAGCGGCCTCCAGATGTGGGGTGACCCCAGATGTGCAGCAGCATGGTTTCATGGGCCACTGGGCCGGTTTCTTTTTTATAGCTGCCGTGGTGGGGTTCACCTGCACAAATGCTGCATTTTGTACTTTCAGGTCTCATGTCCAGCGATGGGTTTTGCCGGTACTTGATGTCTGATGAGAACGCGCCTGTCTTCCTTGACCGCTTAGAGCTATACCAAGAGATGGAGCAACCTTTGGCTCACTACTTCATCAGCTCTTCCCACAACACCTATCTGACGGGAAGGCAGTTTGGTGGGAAGTCCTCCGTGGAGATGTACAGACAAGTCCTCTTGGCCGGATGCAGGTTGGACATCAAGGCGGAGGTTTAGATTAGTATTAAGCAAAACCCTGTGTCGTAAAACGTTTATCTGATTCACCGCTGCATTTAATTCAGTATACGTTAGATGAACATCACAAACAAAGAATTCGGTGAAAGTGCCAAAAGAGGATGTGGAGAGAGCCTTTGGTCTGACCCAGTGAAGAAAGAAAAAACCGTGTGTATGTGTGTGTGTGTGGAAAGGACACAGACAATATATAATTAAACCAAATACATGCTGTGCATAACAACATACAGGAGGCAGAAAGCATAATCTGTAAAATTCATAGAAGCAATGAGCTAGAGTTCCGGCAGTTTACAAACTGAGACAAAGTAGAACCGAGGGCAAGGTAGATCAGTAAACATTTACGAAGACTCCGGAATGTTACTGCATTTGGAAAAAACATTTCTTCAGAGGAGGCACAATGCTGAAAGAAATATGTCAGCATGTATTGTCCTCAAAGAGGCAGACAAAAGGGGGGGGGGCATTGTTATTCTAGATAAGAGTGATTATTTAATAGGAGCTAATTCCCTTTTACAGGATGCCAATTTCTATCAGCCCATTTCCTTTGATCCCACAACAGAGATTTTGAGAATTATACAAACAACAGTCAATGAGGCTTTGGCTATGGACAACATAAATCTATCCACTGCAGGATATTTAGTTAACAAATATTCACGTGTGCCAATATTTTATATATTGCCTAAAATAAATAAACCTGGTCTCCCCCCCCCCCCCCCCCCCCCCCAATTGTTTCTGGTTCTAACTCAGTTTTAGAACCTCTCTATGTACCGGTATTTGGTTTAATTAAATATTGTTTGCGTCCTTCCCCACCCCCCCGGGGCTTTTTCTTTCTTCACTGGTTTTGGATGGGCAGTCTCCTTGCTTTTTGCCTTTGGTCTGACCCAGCAGGGCCCTTCTGATGTCCCAGTAGATGGGAAAATCTTGCAGTGATGCTTCTGTTAAAGACATGACCAAATACACAGGAGAATTTAGATGCTTTTTGCCCCGTTATAACATGTAAATTATATCGGAACTGAGCACATTTCAGTGGCAATTTTTTTTAGAGCTTAGCCTCATCTAAGCTCATCTGCATTCAAATGAGTGTTACTTTACATCTTACTGATTGCAGAGTACAATCACTGCAGTAAATTCACATCAAGGAAAGCAAATTCTTTTCCCTCAGGTGTTTGGTGCACTCAGCAATATGTTTATGAACGGAACCTCTGTTTTGTAAGTCAAATAGTTTGCAAAATGTTCTCTCTCTCTCTCTCTCTCTCTCTCTCTCTCTCTCTCTCTCTCCTGCTAATTAACTCAGCAAAGGGAAAGCAGGTTCAGTACCTTTTCTGCTTTGGCTTCTAGATGCGTTGAACTCGACTGTTGGGATGGGAAAGGTGAAGACCAAGAACCCATCATCACGCATGGAAAGGCGATGTGCACAGACATTCTTTTCAAGGTAAACATTACTTGTTACTAAATGCAAAAGGTTAACTGTGCATTCCCACATGCAGTGACGCCTTTCGGAGCCCGTTTACTTTGGGGAGGGGCTGTGGCTCAGTGGCAGAGCCTCTGTTTGGCGTGCAGAAGGTCCCAGGTTCAATCCCCGACATCTCCAGCTAAGAGTATCAGGTGGTGGGTATATGAAAGACCTCCGCCAGAGACCCTGGAGAGCAGGCCTGTAGCTACAGTGGGGCATTTCGGGGCCTGGCCCCCTGACTTCCTGCCAAGGCCCCCCCCCCGACTTCCATCCAGCCCCCAGGACCCCCTGGCTCTCTGGGCCACCTAGAGGTCTCCCCACCACCGCCCCTTCCCCAAGCATGGCTTGCTTCCCCATGTAGGAAAGCAGACAGCAAATGCCGCAAAAGTGAGTTTTTAAAATTTTATTTTTATTTTGCAACATCAGTGCCCCCCGACGTATTTAAAGGCCTGCCGGAGAGCCACCGCCAGTCTGAATAGACAAGACTGACCTTGAGGGAACCCGTGGTCTGAGGCAGGCCGAGGCAGCTTCCGGTGCTCACGGGGCTAGAAAGGTGTAACTCTCTTTAGGACTGCACTGTGGATTCTCCTCTTGTCTTTCCAAGAAAACAGCTGTCAGTTGGGTAAAAGCCCTCTTTCCTGTAAAGCTGCTACTCTCCCCGAGTATCTGAAGGATTCCTCTTTCTTTGCTCCTCCTCGTATTACTCCGTAACTTGCCAGCGGTTGATCACTAGTTATCTTCCGTGCTCCAGCATTCAGCTTCTGCCAACTGCAGTCGCTTGTAAGCCACTCTGGGGGGGGTGTCCCCCACGGGAGCGACAGGGCAGGGTGGAAATGGAATTAAGTAAACAAGCAGCCTCCTACCTTGGGAAGTCCTCCAGCCACAGTTGGTTCTTCTGCCGCAGCAGGGAAATCCCCCTCGGCTGGAGAGAGGCTTCGGGCATTCCCTAGCGGAGGGGCTGCAGCAAGGCCGGCGGTGTTTGTAATCAGCCTGGCTGCTCGGTTGGCCAGTGCGAATTGTGGCACTGAGAGGACGATTCGGCTTTTGCAATAGTCCTCTTCTTCCCCCCGTCTCCAAAGAGGACTTTGTGAAACATACTGTCCAGACAGTCCCCCAGCCAGGATTTCATGGCTTGCGGGGCAGATTTTTTTATGGGGGGGCTGAAATTCTCAGTGCAGAAAGAAAAGCTGTTCAGCCAATCAAAAGCTGTTCCCAGGATAGTTCTCTGAACTGCAAGCTGTCAACCACTTTAGATGACAGTATTCAGCTGCTGCAAGTTAATCACTTCTGCCAGCCTAAGCAACAATTCTTTCCGATAACAAGCCGTCAGGTGGGGGCGATGACTTCTATAGTCAAGGAAGCTAACACTTAGGCAGAAGAACTCTCTTAAAGGAGACTACTTTCTTGACACAGTGTTAGAAGGGATCCTAGAGGTCACCTACTCCAACCCCTTTGCTCAGTGTGGGAATTAGTCAACTACAGCACCCTACTCTGCTTAAAGGAGTGCACACCTTTTAAAAAAAGTTTTAAATGATTGAAAAAAGCATTTACGGGAGAAATTCTTGTGGGGCTGTGCCTTTAAGAAAGTGGGCAGAGCCCTCAAAAGCCGCACCATAGCTACGGGCCTGCATCCAGGTTAATGGTGAGGGACTAGATTGTAAAAGTAAGTCTAGGTTTGTTTTTCAGCATGTGTGTATTTCTCTATATTATAAAGCTGATTTGGGGTGCCCACGCTCGATGCTCTCCTTCAGGCATAGGCTGAGGCAGCCGCCACTCACACCGGAATGCTGGCCACTGGCTGCGGTCTCTGCCCCTGCCCACAGAGGTGGTACCGGAGTGAACGTGCCCTGCAATTCGAAGAGAGAGCTGCTTTGGCGTGGTCACGCTCGATGCACTCCCTCAGCTGTAGGCTAAGCCACCACTCATGCCGGGGACGCTGGCCACTGGCCGCAGTCTCTGACGCCCGCCCACAGATGCGGCGCCTGGGTGAGCGTGCCCTGCAATTCGAACAGACCGTGGTGGAGTCCCGCCCCGCCACCCAAAGAACAGCCGCCCAGCCTCAGTAGGCTGCGGGGCAATGGGCGGGCCGTGCACTCTGCCCGCAGCTGAGAGGGGCACTGGTCCCCAGGTGGGTGGTGAGCGCGGAACCGCTCCGTGTGCCCGGCGCCCGGCTGCAGGGCAACCGCCGGTGGCCGCAGACAGACGGACACCTCCAGCGGCTCCGACGGCTGGGGCACAGGATGCCGGGCTGTTGCTAGAGCTCGTTGCCTTGAAGTACAATGGGCCTTGCTCCCAGTCTTTCGTATTGCTCGAGTCTTGCTTTGACTGCACCTCCTCAAACCTTTTCTCTGTATCTTGAAGGATGTGATCCAAGCCATCAGGGAAACAGCTTTTGTGACGTCAGAGTATCCCGTCATCTTGTCGTTTGAAAACCACTGCAGGTACTTTATACGGAGGGCCATTCATCTTGCACATCCCACGGGTGAGATAAGAGAGAAGCTCTGTGGGGCGGGCAGCAGGGGTCAGAGCAGAGGAGACGGTTTCCACAGACATCCCGAGGTCATCGGGCCAAGCGAAATTCAAAGTCACTCTGAGTACCCACGTTAATAACAAAAGGGCCAGAGCTGTGTTTTGAAGCAGAGGCGTCAAACTCATTTGTCGGAAGGGCCAGATCTGATATCAATGTCACTTTGTCGGGGCGGGACATGTGTGCCATAGAATGTCATGCCAGGTGCGGGAGATATAGACTATATAAAGGACAAAGGCAAACCCAATTGACGATATCAGTTTTACTCAGAATACAAAAATGCTTAAAACATGAACACTCTTACAGTGTTTCCTTAGCAAAGTTTGAGTTCAGTGGCACCTTTAAGACCAACTGGACTCAAACTTTGTTCTGCTGCTTCAGACCCACACAGCTCTACCCACCTGAGAGCCAGTTTGGTGTCGTGGTTAAGTGCAGGTGGTCTCTAATCTGGGAGAGCCGGGTTTGATTCCCCACGCCTCCACTCGCACCTGCTGATGTGACCTTGGGCATGCCATAGTTCCGTCAGAGCTGTTCTTGAGAAAGGGCAGTTTCTGTCAGAGCTCTCTCAGCCCCACCGACCTCACAGGGTGTCTGTTGTGGGGAGGGGGAGGGAAAGGAGTTTGTAAGCCGCTCTGAGACTCCCAAGTGAAGGGCGGGGTATAAATCCAGTCTCCTTTACCTCCTCTTCTTCTTCTTTTTCTTCTTCTTCTTTCCTCAAATTATCTCCCTAATGCCCGCCCTCCCACTCCTGCTGCCCGTTACTCATTAGTACTGGGACGGCAAAGAGGGACGTAATGCAGAGCCTCTTGTCACCTGGCAATAAAGGTAGTGACCAGTTGGTTACAGGCCAGATAAGAGCCCTGGGCGGGCCAGTTCTGGCCGGCGGGCCGTATGTTTGACACCCGCTTTAAAGCGTGCTGCAGTTGCACTAATGCACTTGACAGTCACTTTGAACGAATCCCTTTAAGCCAGTCTTAGGATTGTTTTTGATTTTGTGCTCAGCTTTTCCGCATGGTTAAACTCTTCTAATACAATCTGTCCCCGTGGTACGCAGAGAGCACTAAAAGCTATATTGGATGTTTCATGTCCTGTTTGGTTCGTAACTGGGCCTCTCATATCTTTTCAGCAAATACCAACAGTACAAAATGTCAAAATACTGTGAAGATATTTTTGGAGACCTTCTATTAAAGCAACCACTAGAGACACATCCAGTAGGTACCTTCCAATCATATCTGTATTTTATTGTAAAAATATCTCTCAGACGGGCAGCAAGAATAGTGCGTGTTAACCGGAAAAGGGGGGGAGAGCCCACTGCGAGAAACCAAAGAGGGTACGGAGTACCAGAGGCCACACAAAACAATAGGCTGAATGTACTGGATTGCGCGCAAACCAAATATTAATATATACAGTGTGTGGGGGGGAAGTACAGTGAGATTAGTGAAAACAGCGCCTATATACAGCGCACAACACAGTGACGCATGACCATTCAAATGTAAACAAATTCCGATACATAATACAGCAAGTTGTGACAGTTAGGAAAGTATATTCATTGGTGATCTGCTGGCTACTTTACAGATCGACAAAAGGAAATACTACCTTACACAGAGAGTGATTAAAATTCACTGCTAGAGGGTGTAGTGATGGCCACAGGAATAAACAGCTTTCAAAGGGGATTAGAGAGATTCATGAAGGATAAGTCTGTCAGTGGCTGCTAGCCCTGGTGACTGAGGGGAACCTCCACATTCAGGGGCACTAATTCTCTGAATCCCAGAGCCAGGAGGCCTCATCAAGGGAAGGCCTTGGCTTCTCTGCCCTGTTGTTGGCCATTCCAAGGAACTTGCTCATCACTGTGTGAGGCAGGATGCTGGACTAGATGGACCACTGGTCTGATCCAGCAGGGCTCTTCTGATGTCCTGTCAGGGCATCTATGTCCTGTTGTTGGCCCTCCAGAGGAACTGGTTGGACACTGTGTGAGACAGGATGCTAGATTAGACGGACCTCTGGCCTGACCAAGCAGGGCTCTTCTGATGTTCTTATGAGGGGAAGGCCTCGGCCTCACTGCCCTGTTCGTTAGCCTTCCAGAGGAACTGTTTGGCCACTGTGTGAGACGGGAGGCTGGACTAGATGGACCCTCCCTGGTCTGACCCAGCAGGGCTCTTCTGAGGTCCTTATCAGGGGAAGGCCTCGGCCTTTCTGCCCTGTTGCTGGCACTGCAGAAAAACTGGCTGGCCCCTGTGTGACACAGGATGCTGGACTAGATGGACCCTCTCTGGTCTGATCCAGCAGGGCTCTTCTGGTGTTCTCATAAATGCACGGATACAGAGAGGGGACCAAATACTAAACCAGACTGTGCTTTCCCCACGTCAGTGTGGTGGTGCTGCCAACCCCTAATATGCTAAGGAGAGAAGTGAAGCACATGGCACAGCATGTCAGACAAATTTCTGTGAGTCCCGGGGACTTGGGTCTTGCCAAGTCTTTATTTAAAAAAAAACAAAAACCCCAAAACCCTAATGGAGCCCCTGGGAAATCTGATCCTAACGGTGATTCTTTTCTCTGCTGCAGCTTGAAGCTGGAAGGTCCTTGCCCTCCCCGAACGACCTCAAAAGAAAGATACTTATCAAAAACAAAAGGCTGAAATCTGAAGTAGAAAAAAGTAAGTCAAGCACTGGTACCTACAAGCATGGAAACTAAAACCAAAGCAGACAAGCCACAGCTTGGTCTCTTGTCGGAGGGGGTGTTGATGGCGTGGAGGAAAATGGCCACCGGGACTGTTCCCAGAAACACTTAAACAAGAATTCACACAGTATTGTAAGCAGTTCCTAGACAGTCTTATTAGGGACGTGCAATCGGAGAGTGCAGAGCTGATAAAATGCCCTCTGTTCCCAGTGCCGGATCAGCCTGACAACATCCGTTTTTGCGAACAGACCCCGCCTCCCCCGCCGCCCACGACGATCCCTCCTTTCGCCTGCTGCCTCTGAGGCGGGAGAAGGAGGCCTTTCAGAAATCATAGTTTTAATTTTCCTTCAAAAAGAGCATGATTACCATTTTCCCTAAACTGGGAGTATTGTACCAATATTCGTTAAAACGGATTCTCCCCCCCCCCCCCCCCCCCCCGACACGGCTCCAGAATGGCAACTGTACCCCTGATACTTAATTAAAATAATTATCAGGCTCTTCCCAGCTGGAATCAAAATGGTAATTTTTGAATTGTATAACTCTAGTTCTCATGTTTGCACAAAAAGTGAAGGAACGTACTTTTTTTTTGCTCAGCAATGTGGTGAAGAGGTTTATGGTAGCCCTCACAGGGTCCGAAGATATGGAAGCGCCTTCAGACCGATCCCTGGCATCTGTTCACATTTATTTGTAGAATGTCAAAGAAACACTGGCTGGGCTTTACTTCGATTCCCCATTGGCACCTCGTTTGAGAGAAAACAACACTGCAGATGTTGGGATCAGGCACTTCCATACCAAACTTGGGGGGTGGCTGTCATAAGAATGTCCCAGGAGTTCCTGCTAGTTCTCGTGTGTGTGTGTGTGTGTGTATAAAGTGCCGTGGAGTTGTAGCCAACGTATGGCAAGGCCAGCCAGGGGCTTTCGAGGCAAGTGAGGAGCAGAGGTGGTCTGCCCAGGCCTTCCTCTGAAGAGCCTTCCTTGGTGGTCTCCCTTTCAAGTACCGACCCTGCTTAGCTTCTGCGATCTGACGAGATTGGGCTATGCCCGGCCCTCCTTCCCTCTGCTAGTTCCCCTCGTCATTTCTTAAAGACTGGATGATGTTATATCTTGGTTTCTGTATTATATTTTGCTTTGGTTTTTGTCTGTTCTGTTCGTGTGTCTGGTGTGTGTGTGTTTGCTTTAAACAGAACAGCTTGAAGCTTTGAAAAGTATGATGGAAGCGGGTGAAACCGCCGCCCCCGTCAGCATCTTGGAAGACGACACTGAAGAAGAGATAGAAAGTGGTGAGGCGGGTCTCGGGATTTTCCTCCTTCCTCCCTCCCCCCCCAGCCCTGCCCCGCCCC